CCTGCTGCTGCTATGACAGATCACTTTACAGGAATCTACAAGGGGAGCTGTCTCTGATGTTAACAGTGGGTCTTTGCTGTGGAACAAAAGAATGCGCTGGGGCAAGCATGAGCTGGTTTGAATTTATAATATTTAACATTGGGAAATAGTAAAGGCTGAGGCTGGTGTATGTATAGCCATTTTGAGACCTGTATTTCTGAAAAGTGAAGAAGGGTCTTTAAAATAGGGTTGAGTAGTTTTGTGCCCTGGAATACAAGTCACCGCTCTCATCAAGGCAACGGTGAGATAGTCATTTGGTGAGGGGAGGGGGAAGACACAGTGGGCTAGGAGGGAATTCAAAACAAGGCCAGCTTGTTATAGGCAGACTACAGAAGAAAGGAAAAGGCTTCCGTCAAAAGTATGAGTGATAACCTCTAGTGAAGGTATAGTAATGGACTAAATGACCTGAAGGTTTCTTCTTCCACCGTGACCTTTTGTTCTGAAGTCCTTTCCCAGATATCTCCCTGACCACTGCAGCTCTCTGCTAACTTTGTGTATTAGTTACTCGAGAGCATCACTTCTCACAGATGCCTTTGTGAAAGGTCAGGTTTTGCTGCTGCTTTTTAAAAACCAGCCACGTGGCCAGTTGCTCCCTCCTTGCCTCTGGCTGTATCAGAGTACCCTGTAGCCAGGAGTTTAAGCCCATGCGCCCAGCGCCTTTTCCTGTCTACTCTTGACATGCAGCTACCTTTCTTTACATGGAAGCAGTGTATTTTCAAAACTTCCTCCTTTCTTCTCTCATGTTGAAAGAACACTGATCTAGGCAAATCTTGTGCCCATTTACATATGCAAATTGGTTTGAAACTATGACCCACTAGCTTATGTTTTTATTCTGCAGTGCTTTTACACGGCAACCATTACGTACCAGTGTGACCCCCTTCAAAATGGACTGCAGTACTGGAGTGCTTCCTAAACCGTGGCATGCCATCAGCTTGGCATGTGAGAACATATGGTGTCCCATGGCTGAAACATGCTGTCCATGCTCTTTTTGTCCTAATGGTTGTTTTCTGTCTTGAGATTTAATTCGTCTTTGGTGTGTTACTGTGTTTTATTTTACCCTGGTTGTTCCTGTAGTGCTCTGTCATTTGTAGCAACACCTCTTGTCTGTTTTCACAATTCAGAGTTAGTTTTGTAGATGGTATGGAGAGCGAATGCTCATGGCATGGCGGCATGTGTTCACCTGAACAAGGGACTCACCAGTGGTGACTCTGCATCATTGCTGATAGCAGAGAATGTTGTTGTTTCATTGTATTTAGCTTTAAGTCAGTCCATGTTATATCTAAAGCTGCCTATTTTAAAGAAAAATTGGTTCTGCTAGGGGGGAAAAAAAAAATAAGTAGCTTTATTCAATGTGTATGTTCCCTAACCTGAAAGCCCCTTCACTGGATTTTCTACTGCACTGTCACAAACCCCATCAATCTCTTCAATTTCTTCAGAACGAAGAGAGGATTTGCAGGTTAACCGGCTGGAAACCCAAATATGGATAAAACCAGACATAGAGAAGACAGATGTGGACTTTTCAGAAATTCTTAATGCAATACAAGAAAGTAAGTTATTCCTTGGATGCAAAATCGAGTTTATGGTAGAAGAATCAATTGAGATGCATTGAAATTATAACTGAAGAAACATACGAAGTGATGAACTGAATGATAAATAAGCATTACTAAAATCTGTGAGAAAGTTCAACGGGTTATTGAGGGCCAGTAAGAAATCTTTTACTATCAGAGAAGTCATAGTAAGATTTGAATTGTTATGTACCTAAGGATTCCAGTGGTATGTATTTCCTATGCAGAAGTAATCAGAAATATTAAGATTCTTGTTACTTTAATCCGTTCTTAACCCTCTTGAATGGCTGTGTGAACTAATAATGTAAGGCAAATGATGCAGTCTGGGATCTAAGACTAGGTTTGAAGTTCTAGCTGTTCCAAAGTGTTGGGGCGTATTCACATTTTTGCAGCTGGTAACTTTTAGGATTGGAAGTGATGTGCTTCTCACAATAGCTGAAGGCCTGTGCATCTTAGATACTGTATGAAACTATCTCTTTTCTCATGTAATGTGCTGTGGACTAAGAATTGGTTGGTCCACCCTTCTTAAATGCAACAGCAGAATGATCTCAAGACATGCACTAGGAGAAATACTAGTCTCATTAACAACAGACGAAGACATACCACCACCCTCAAAACTGATGGAACTCTGGAATTTAAAAGAATCTGGAATTTCAGTGGGAGTTTTCCATAATAGGTTAAAAATTCTTATGCAGGCCAGGAATCAAAAAGCGTGGAATGATGACATTGCTAGCTGGCTTCCTGGTTTCCCTCTTTTCCAGTTTTATTTTAAACTGGATATTTTGTATAGCAATTTTCTGAAGTGAGAAGCAGCTACTTACATTCTTGAATGCTGAAAGACGTATATGAATGTGTAAAACCCTGCACTACTCCGGATTTTTGCTATTTGAAGAAGGAACCATACAGAGGTAGTATCCAGTCATATCATGGTGGGGTTGGGGGTGGAAGGGAAGGGAATCATTAGTTTGGGGGTGGAAGGAAAACTCACAGGTTAGTATAATGATGGTGGTAATAATTTGAAATTGAATCACGTGATTATTTAAGCTGTAGGTTTAGGATGAACTCTGGTTTGTAACTTAAAAAGCTTTTCCCATCGGGAAACCTTAATATGATCTTACTTTCTCCCCTATTCTCCTCACCCACACAGCCCAGATATAGGCCTAGGGGCAGCTGGGATGTGGACTGGAGAGGCTGAAAAAAACACTATAGTCTTTCAGAGGCTGAATAGATGAGATGACAAACAAGGATAAGCAAATTCAAGTTGGGAAGAGATCATATTAGCACATGAGAAAGAGTTATCTTCTCCATTTCAAGCAATGGCTGAGGAGAATAGAAACCTACAATTTGTTTAAAATAGTTAGATATCAAGATTAGATTTACTAACAGTGTTTGTCCAAAGCAGCTTCTTTTTAAAATGGCCATATCTCAACTTCCCTTGGTACTATGTCACACTTCAGTATCATACTCTGATGATATCCTTATGCTGAATAACCCCAAATTTTCATTCAATATGGCACAGGTTTACTTATATCCTCAAATGTTAAACTTCCAGAGAAAAAATATAGTTTCTTTTAAAAGTATGGCATTTTTCTGTAGCCATAAAGAGGGCATTCATCTGACTCAAACATAGGGGTTTGCAATAAAGGTGTCAATATCTGAATTCATTGTCTAAGCTCCCTTTGCAGTCAACAGAATGTAATAAAGATGTCTAGAGCCCAGTTTTTCTTATTTTAGAGTAGGTGTCTAATATAGATTAGATGACCTGTGACTTGGAGGTGGCTATTTGCCTTTGTTGTCTGCAGGCTGAATTTAGGGAAATGAGCTAACTTGAATCACTAGCGAAGCTTAGACACAAGCATCTGCACTGTGGATGTGTAAATGTAGGAGAGTCCTACCCTAAGTAAATATTTGCAAGTGATTAATAGATATAAACTGGATATCCCAAATACTTTTAGCAATTTTAATGTAATTTCAAAACTAGATAGCTTTAAACAAAGTCTTTTACGAATTAACATTTTGATTTATGGATTATTTTAGAGCCGTTTGATATGGACACAGATTTTGCACCCTTGGAGACAGTGATTTTCTTTATACAGACCAGACACAGTTGCTGTTGGGAAGTTAATCTCTGTCTTTCGGTTACATTCTCTTCTGGAAAGACAAAAGGATTGCTATGACTGTACAACCCAGTTTGCAAAGGCTTGTTATGTGTCCAGGAGAGTGTCTTGTCACCTGCAGTTTGTTGTGAATATCAAATAATTAGCTTAAATGCCTAAATATTCTTTCTAGGGTGGTTGCTCTGAATAGTCATTGTTGCTTTTATTCCCAGTTGTTGTTAGCATTGAATGAAAATTAAAAGAAGCTAATGATGCTTTAAAGACCACATTTTTTTCCTTGCTGACATGAGTTTCCTGAGCATTTCCCAGGAGCTGTGTCATGCACCTTTCACTAGCTGGTATATCTTTCTTTTTGATAGACTGCCAAGAGTGACCATTCAATAGCAGAGATTCTATTTTATTTTTTTAAATTTAGTTGCTTAAAACAAACTTTTTTTTCCCTTCTATCCTACTGAATCTCTTAGAGTTCATCTGAAGATAAAGATTTACCATCTCATTATTTACTTTATGAGAATATACTACAATTATAAAAGACTTAAAAGTCATTCCTACTGCATCAAAGCTAAATTCTGCATTTAAGTACCATAGTTCATGGTTGAGGCTTAAACACATTTTTCTAAAGATTTCTGGTAAGTCTTTTATAAAACAGTTTCTTCTTGACCACAGGATATTCAGAAATTATTTATAGTCTATCAAAGACAGTTCAGAAACAATAAATACTAACCTGAAAATGGCTGTAGACACACACTGTAGAGTAGGGGATAGCAAAACAGGGTGATGCATCTGACCTAAACCAAACTGGTAAACTAGAGAGCCGAGGTGTCAAGGATCTGCATGAACTATCTGTCAGATGTAAACCAGAATTCCATGTTGCTGCCTACTCACAGCCTGTACCCATGTCACAGCCCCAGCCAGAAGTGGGGCAGCTGGGGGGCACCAGGGACAGCCCCAGCCCTGGTCATTGGGTCCTCCCCTGGTGTAGTGGGGCTGTGGCCGGGTAGGGCTGTGGGCAGCTGGAGACCGGCCCTGCTGTGGCATCACTGGGGCAGGAGCTGATAGCCCCCGGGGGGCTGAAATGGGGTCCTGGGATCTGAGCAGGGTAAATGGAGCCCCTGGGTCCAGGCAGGGACAGTCAGGGCTGGGGGTGCCCTCAGGATCATGACCAAAGCTGGCAAAGGCTTTTATGGCTGTTTTCTACTAACTACACTGAGACGATGGACTTCTTGTAGAAAAATAGTAAATAACTTTATTAAAAAAAAAAAAAAAAAAAGCTTTTTTTCATGAATTCCCATAATTTGCTTCAATGTATGAAACTTATTTTCATGGCCATTGCAGTGAAGTCAAAATTCTAAAACTCTGGCTTTTTAGAATATTTTTAAAAATCCTTTTTACAATAACTCTCAAAAAAATTACGTGATTCTCTCATTTTAATTCTCATAATGTGGAAGCCAGAAATCAGTGAGTTTCCTGAGACAGGGTTGCTCATCCACTGTGTAGTTACTGAATTTAGCATTTAACATGATAAAAAGTTCTGGGCTGTGTGGTCTCTGTGGGATGGCCTCCTCAAAGCAAAGATTTGTGAATTGTGTCTGCCAGCCTTACTGAGTACAGAACAGATAGCTGTAAAAACACAACACCTAGTATTAGATGCAGAAAGGTTCTTGGTTTTTCATACTCAAATTTTTCTGCTTTGCAAGTCTCTGCAAAACAAATATTTTCTACTTGGGATTTTTATTAAGGTGTATTCTCTGATCCCAATAATTTTTTCCACCACCGTTAACATGTGGAAATGCCTTATACTTATTTTAAACGTTGTCAGTAAGACTTTTTAAGGAAATTCACTCTTCAATATTACTGATAGGCCTAAAAGCTTCCAAAGACCAGTTTCTGGAATATTGATCTACAGCTTGTATTATCCAAAGCTAGAGCATACTCGATGGCTTGATGTGACAATTGGTAATAAAATGGCTATTAATGAACAGAAACGGTCTCTGAGCATGCTTCCATCTTGCCACACTAAAACATAGTCAGGTCCCATTTTTGAATGAAAATTCTTATTTTTGGGCACCTCAGTTCTTGAATGTCTATCTTCAGAAGGTTAAAGGAGTTATCTTATCTCACCTTTGAGCCCTACCTAAACCAGCCTCTTGGCCCAAAGTGGCTTGTGGACCCACTGAAATTGTGTGCAGACTCTCGCTTAGAATTTCACAGCATTCAGTTTTCACAATATGTGATTCTATTATATTTGGGATAAAAGTATTTGTATATCCACATTTTTTCAGCTCCTCAAGGGATTATGAATTATCAAACCATTTTGATTTTTTTTTACATGAAGTGGAACATGAGGGGGAGAAAAGGGCTTGCATATTTAAGCTGTTCTAAAACCAGAGGGGGAATTCATAATATCTTCTGTAGCAATGTACATGCTGCTGTGTATTGCTGTTAAATTTCACTGCCTAAAAATACATGACTATACACTAGCACCAGTCTGTCTCCCAAATGATAAGTCAAAAGCACATATATGATAAAATTATTATATATCATTCTGTTTGGATCATTTGTGGATATATGCCTGTCATGGTCTGAAGGGGACAGAAAAGGTGAAGCCGTGGAGCTGCCGTTTGGCAGCGTAGGTGTTCGTGTTCATGGGAGTGGAGTGGCTGAGGTAGGTACAGTCAGCAGGAGAGTTGGCTTGGAAGTACTGTCACCATTATGAAAGTGAAGCAAACAGGATTTCCTTTTTTTAATTATTTATTTAGTTTTGTGAAACGGTGTTTTATGAACCTTGGGTAGAAAAATGTTCTCGGCAAATGTTAGGGCCCCATGTTTATTGCCAGTGACTGAAACACTAACAGTGCATTTTCAAAACCAGACACAGCAAGGCAACTGCAGTGTAAAGATCTCCACTTTCTCACCAGCAGCACCTTTACTGCAACTGGAAGAAAGTCACAGACAACTTTAGCCCTGATGAGGTAGTTCAGCACATATCTTCACTGCTTACCCTGTTTGCTGAAGCTACCAGCCAACATGCCAATTATCCCTGTACTTCTGACATAAGCGATTTTCTACTACAGGCAGGTCCTGGTAACAAATTTCACCAGCCAGCTGAGTTTCACTGCTTCTGCAACTTTCAGTCACGGCTGAGATGGGCTGGATTTTAAAGTGACCTTGAAACAAGATTTTTTTTTTGTTCCTCACAAGTCCTCAGAATAATCCGGTATCTCTCTGAAACCCCCAAACACATTCACTCTCTTACGCACCAAGTTGTTCATCTCTAAACACCCACTTAAAACCCATCTATTTTGCAACCCAAAGCATTACTGGCACTTCAGGAAGCAGCAATTGTAGTATCTCAAAGGCCTCATCTTTTATACTAAGACAGTCTTAATGGCAGGAAAAAGCTATCTCCAATTCCCTGGAGCATAGTGTACAGGCAAAATCTCTTTCATTTTTACATCTTTCATTGCCTCTGTCTGCCACAGATGTATATCTTGCATAATCTTCAGAAAGCTTCACTATTTAATTATTTTTTAATTTTCAGCAGTTGTTTTCATTGTATGTTGAGGTGTTGATCATATGCAGGTTCATGTGTCTCTTTTCTGGAGGCACTCTTTAGGGTTTCAGTTCAGTGAAGTTTCACATCATTTGATATGGTTTCTGATCCAGTAGTTCTTTATGTTGAGTGTTCAGATAAATTCTTCTCATATGAACATGTATGCAAAAGCTGGTCATGAGCTACATCCAGATTATTATCTGGTGGGGTGGAACATTTCCAGTCTTGCCCTTTGAAACAGTAGGAACAGTGAGGGGCAGGTGGTTAGACTGTGCTGTCTTGCAGCGGTTCCCCTATCCTATATGGGCATCTCTAGTGTGATTTTTGTGGATTAAAATGGATCAAGGTGGCAAATAGTTCTTTAATATTGCTGCTGCATATAGTACAAAATGGAGTCTGTTTTTTTTGCCTTCTAAACCTCCTTAAACTTTTGTAGTTTGTCCTAGGATAGGTTGGATGCAGCCACAGTGATGCTGAAGAGCTGCAGTCTCTCCCCATCACGTAAACCGAAACAACACCAGGATGATCTTCTCCACCCCTGTCAGTAAGCTCACCCCTAGCTGGGAACAGGATGGTGTGAGGCCAAGGCTGGTTTTAAAGTGAAAAACTCTGTCCTGAATGTTTGTCTCTAATGATATCCTGGCCCTTTTCACAAAAATAGGATAGGTAAAATAAATGGACTGATAGTAAAAGCAATCTTAAAATGGCAAGAGAAAGTTAATATCTGAAAAAAAGAGGTTTTATATCTCTGATGTGTTCACAGACTATAATACTCGCAGAATAAAAGAGAGTGAAGCAGGTGAAGCTATTACTCTCAATATCCCTATAAAAGCTGACTGGGATCCTGCAGAACAGAGGGTGCTATCTAAAACTGATGAATTATGATATGAGGTGTTAAGTGAGGATTAAATATTGTGCAATACTAATACTGGGATACAAAGAATGATAGCTAGATTAGTCAGTATGAAACCCTAGAACTGCTAAACTCAAGGAGCAGTATGTTATCCTAAAACCTGCTTATTTGGCAGAGAATTTCTTATTGTTATGTTGTCTGCATGGAAAAAAAATTGTTAAAAGTGTTAAAACCTCAGAATTTCTATTAAAAATTATGCTGCTTAGGTTAGTTCATTAGCCTAATATCTAGAGTGGATTAATGTGGATGCGAAGACTTTTCAGTTGTTTCTGAAATTTTTCGTGGCTTTCTGAGCAGAAGTATTGCAATCGATAATATAATGTATGTTATTAACCTTGTCCTTACTTTACACATGAAAATGAAGAAGAAGGGTTCTTGAATATTTTGATAGGATTTTCTTTTTTATCTACCTAGAGCTGTAATAACAGACTTGAGATACTGTGAAAGACATGTACAAAAAGGGAGCAATCTCTTCCCCATGTTCATAATTGATAGGATAAGAATAATATGTTTAAATTACAACATAGGTGCATATTCAGGATGAATGTTGTGAAGAAAATTTTCTCCTGCTTGTGATAGTGAAAAATAGACCACCTGCAGAGACTGCAGAGTCAGTTGCACTGGAGATTTTTTAAAAATGTTTCTTAAACAAGGCTGTAGCCCCTGAAGAAGAGAAAGGTGAAAAGGAGGTCACAAAATGCTCATGATGGCTCGGAACAGTTAATGGCCTTTCATTTCTGGCAGCTATTCAGTCTCTCCACAGTGGGGGAATGGATCTTCACACCTGCAGCCAGTAGTTAGAAATGGAACTAAGTTGCCACCAGCAATTAGAGATTTTTGGCTCTTCCCCATTAATATAAATTCCATCAACAGGAATTACAACTGCCTGTCACTAAGTTAGGGGAGCTACAGAAGAACGAAAGGAACAGGAGGTTATTGCACAAAAGAAGAATGATTCCAAAAGTTATCAAGTTTGCAAAAGAGTGTGAGGAATAGTGGGTTACACAAATTTCTGCCAAGACTAATACATGTTTGATCTTTCTCTAGTCAAGGGAAGAGAGTCAGAGCTGACCTTTGGGGGTCCCTTCTAACAGTTAGGACTCTACTGTCATAATTCTGGATTTTTGCCTATGAAACATGAGGTTGGAGAGATGAAGTCTATCCACAGTTGAAGCATGATCCTCAGAAAAGACGTTTTTCTTCTCCCCATCACACATCTCTTCATCACACTGTCACACCAGACCTGCACCTTTGGGGTGCAGTGGTGGACCTTGCTGGCTGCAGCCTGCCCGCCCTGCGTCTCCCATCCAACAGCCACTCAGTCATCAGGTCAGCAGCCCTTACGTGGGACTGTAGACGCGCCCAGCAGTTCTGCCTGCAGCTTCTCATCACCTCTTTGCTCTGCAAGCAGGGAACATCACCCTAAAGATAATGCTGCTCTAATCTTGAGTACAGTGCCAGCCTTTAACTCATTCCTTCTAGTGCTTTGTTGTTGTTGTTTTTTTTCTTTTAATTAGTGTAAAATTATCACATGACAGGGCATTGCATGAAAGGTGGAGGAAATTCAACCCATTTACTCAAGCCTCTGTCTCCCATCAGGGTACCACTGGGGCCAGTGCTTCTCCATGGGAACCATGTCCCACCACCCGGGCCAGGAGGGAGGGTGGGGGAACAGGCCCAGACTGCCAGCCCCTGCCCTGGCGGGGATGGACCAAGGCCAGGCCAGGATGTGAGCCCATGGGTTGATATCAGGATCGGGGCCAGTGAGGAGAACCAAGGTCAGACACAGCCTCTGGATGGCCAGGCAAGCCCTCCCCATGGCTCTGCCTGGGGGACTCCCACCACAGGCACCAGAAGGAAAGGGCCACCCTTGGCTGCATGGGCTCTGTCATGGCCCCGAGCCCCACTGCCAGATCCCTGGGACTGGAGGATTTGCTCCAGGCAGTTATATCTCTTCACTTTTTATAAAAGTTGGGTTTACTACAGCATGCTGTACATTTAAGCTATTGCTTCATGCACGACTGAGGGCTGTGCAGTAGGTAGATCTGAACATGCCAGCTTTATATGCATGGAAAAATTATGCAAAGACAATCTTCTCAGGCTCATTTATTTAGTGCCTTTCAAATAACAGTACTTATTTGACGTCTTCTGCCTCTGGCTGCCTCACAGGTCTGTACAACTTCTAACTCGACACTTTATGTAGTAGGATAAAAATCTTTTTCTTTATAATAAGAAATTTTCAGAGACCATAGTAATCCAGAAGACAGTTGTTTAAGCCACTTACACTAAGAGAATCTGAGGAGATAGCTCATTTATGTTTTATTGTGACAAAAAATTACTTATTTGTCATCAGAGAGGTATTGTGGTATCCTAAATTTTTATGTAGCTTACTGGTGAAGAAAACAACCCTCCAATGTGCATCAGATTTAAACTTAACATAGCAGTTAAACTGGAACTAAAAATTGGGGGGGATTGCTGATAATGTGTTATACTCAGTATATTCATTTGGCTTAATGGTGATTTGAATGTATATTTATATTTTTGGTTTTAGTAGCTAAGGATGTCAACATTTTTTTTGACGAGTTAGAAGGCGTGAACAGCCCTTCCAAAGATGATGACTCCCTGCTTCACCATGGTAATTTAACCAGTACTTCTGATGATGCCAGCAGGTTGGAAGTTGTGGGAGAGGTAAGAACACCCAGAATTATTACTATAATAATTATTCATGCCCATTATAAAGAGGGAATAAATGTAATGTTATTTAAAGTCTTATTCTGGGCAAGACAACTTGTATGTGACCTTTGTCATGGGGACTGTTTTTTCATTCGAAAATTATAATGTAAAAAATATAAAGTATCTTAAGTTAAAAGGAGGTTTTATTGATTTCATGCGCTCCCATTGAAAAGTGTATATATTTGTTGTCTGCTTGTTTTCTGAACCAGCCAAGTTGAATGCTTCACTGCTTCTGAAAATAATGGAAAAAATTTCCCTATATTAATCCTTGGAGGGGTTGGGGGGTAGGAAGAATTTATCATAAATCTCTCCTGAGAAGCATTGGGTATCGGATATTTGACACATTCCCTCCCAGTGAAGAACAAGTGACCTTATGGTGCGTAATGGTGATTCAGAGAACATGCCAGGGAAGAACCATTAAGCACACAGTCTCTTTTAAATTATGTCTTAAGGCAGGCAAAGCATCATGGACCCAAGTGTGAAAATTTGGGCCTACATTAATTTTTGTGTCTTTTGTGCAAAAAGGAACATGGTACCCTTTAACTTTGCCTCTAACTGCCCTACAACCCATAGATGTTAGGGCTATCTCCTCAGGGCGTGAGGAGACCAGGGACTTGTCTCCTTTTCTCCAGCTCAGGAGTGCGGCTGCATCCAGACTACTTACTGGAGTGGTTTGCTCTTACCTGCAAGCTGTGCCTGAGGATTTTTTGGCAGAGGGTTGATTGGCACAGAGCAGAACTGGCAGGGACCATACTAACAATTAAAAAACATGGAAAACGGTAGGATATTGCTGAAGCTCCTGCCCTGACCCTCTTCTGTTTGCTAGTTTAGATAAAATTTAGATATAATTACAGATTATGTCTTGTTCAGGAGCTAGAGGGTTTTGTGGTGCAAGTTCTTTTGTGAAACACTGCTGAGGAGAGAGTTAGAGATTTTTCTTGTGCTAGAAATTCGGCCCATAGAGAGCTGTGCTCCTGGAGTGTTTAGACAGATAATTAAAGCAACAAAATTCAGGGCACCCAAAGATATGTTTGACCTTGCTCACATTTTCATCTTCCCCTTTACTTGTCACTCTTCCCCAGCTTCCCATACAACTTACAAAAGGCCCTCTTGACTTCTTACACTATAATAGGTTAACCTGACATGATATTCCTGGGTTGCATTTTGAGATCATGTACTGTGTGGTCTCTAACAAAAGGACATGAGTGAAAGGCACATGATCTTTGCATGTTAAAGAGGAAAACTGAGCAGAAAATGGTCAGAAGGACAGAGGATGAGATAGAGCAACATATGCTGGTGTTACAGCAAAAAGCTTTTACCTGTTTGATTTATTCTTTGTTGTTTTTTAAAAGGAAAGGGAAAATGTCTGAGGAATATTTTCCTAGTTGAACAGATTTTTTTTTTTTTTTTTTTTTTTGCATAATCATAAGTGAGGAAAATAGCAATGTAGGTCATGTATATGTATAAGAGAAAAAAAATAGAAAATTGGAAGTCTTAATGGGAGCTGAGGGATGCTCTAGCCTACAAAAAAAGTTTCAAGGTACTTGGGCCCCTGCTTAATTTGAGAAAGAAAATGTACGCTGTTTAGATGTTGTATAGTTTGTATGGATAAGTATGGGAGCTCAACTATACAGTGGTGGGGTGAACTCTGAAGCTTCAAGCTTCCTTTCAGTATTTCAGTTTAGTTTAGTAGTTAAGAGAGCCTGTGCCATCAGGACAGGGGATGTTTGCTTGTTTAGTTTCAAAAGCTTTAGTTAGCTTTGGTTTCAAAGCTAACATTACAGCCAAATAATTTAATATGGTTTCTGTCTGATTTCATTAAAATAAACTTACAATCAAAAAAATTTACAAGGGCATGGCAAAGATTTCTTATCACTTTTGTGTAGCTGACAAGTTGAAATATTATTTGCTTCAACTGTTAGTTGTTTGTGCTTGACCAGGAGATCCAATGAAGACTTTAAACATGGAGCTTTATCAACAGTTCCTTAACAGATGCAGAGCCAGATTGGGACTCTGCTTGTCCTTTGGCTAGAGATGTTTGGTGGGGTTTTTTTTGGTTTATGTTTCGTTCAAACACAGCTATGGTCTGAGCAAATTAAAAATCACATTTCCCTTTGTGTGCATTGATCAAAACACTTTTTCTATATGCCAGCATAACAGTTGGGTATACACTTTACTATTTAAATCCAGGACACATTATCACGAAAGTATTGTATTATGTTTGCTGAAGTTTCATTTTCTGAGAACTGGAGAAGCAGCTGAAAGAAGGTAAAAATTAAAGGAAAAACGGTTTGGGATCTGTACTCTGTATGCATCCATTCTGCCCGCCTTTCTGTGGAGTAAGAAATTCGTCTTCTTTATCCAAATAAGGGAGAATGATGGAGGTGGGGCAAAATTTGACTTCTACTTAAATGATCTTATATAGCACATTCTTGAAATTCTATCTAATGTAGGTAGTTTTGAAATTAAAATTGTAAGAGTCGCTTCTATAGTCTGCACTTTAAACATCAAACTGTTGATATTCGGGGGCAATGTTATTAACATTGCATAGGACAGAGCTTGTTTTAACAAACTCTTTTATAAATAGGAACTTGCACTGAAGATTATGGCAGAAAAAAATGTATTCCCAATGCAAAATAAGAAATCTGATGTTCTTTACGGCACTTATAATAACTTGTGCAATTTCAGCTCAGTTTTGTTGTGGGTGCTTACCAGAATACAAGCTAACTACATAATATTTTTCCACCAAATTGTAGAATCATGAATCATAGAATGGTTTGGGTTGGAAGGGACCTTGAAGATCACCTACTTCCAAACCCATTGCCATGGGCAGGGACCCCTCCCACTAGACCAGGTTGCTCAAAGCCCATCCAACCTGGCCTTGAACACTTCCAGGGATGGGGCATCCACAACTTCTCTGTCCAGCCTGTTCCAATGCCTCACCACCCTCATAATGAAGAATGTCTTCCTTATATCTAATATAAATCTACCCTCTTTCATTTTAAAGCTAGTTCCCCTTGTCCTGTTGCTACATGTCCTTGTAAAATGTACTGGTATTCTTCAGTAATCAAGATACATGTGGAAATAGATTATCTAAGCTTTCAGAGAAAACTACAAATCTGTTACTTCCTAACTTTTGAGCGCTTAATTTTGCAGCCTAGATAATTTCATCATTAGAAAAGCTACATGTAATTAAATATATTATGATGTCAAGAAGAATATAGCAACCAGTGAAGATGCATGGAAAAATAAAGTTGCAGCTTCCACAAAATTATAGTCTAAATGGACAAAAGAATATTTTAAAGAAAAAAAAAAAGAACACACAGAGAAAATATACTTGTTCTTTGATTAGAACTGTGCCTTAAAAACTAGGTGGTTCTGGGTTCCTCTTTTTCTGCATAAGTTGTCACTGTTAGTGGTGCAGGTATTAATCCCCTCGGCCAGCTGTGAAGTCGCATGCAGGGGACTCTAATTTCAAGTAGCCACAAACAACAGGAAAAGACAATCTCTTTAGAATTCAAAGACTGTATCTTCATTGAGCATCCATACTGATAATAACTGGGTACCAAAACAACTAGGAATCAATAAAGAATCTGATCTGTCATTAAATTAGTGAACATTGGAGTACCTTCTGATTTTTTTTTTTTTTGATCTGCATTTAAAGTTTCAAATTCCTTGATTTCCCCAACTGCGCTTTTGTTTAAATGTTCCATTTAAAGTCTCTATATAGCTAGAAATGCTAAACTTCTTGCTAGAGTTAAGTCTTCCCTGTTCTTCCACTTTCTTCCAGCATCCTTTTTCAGATGAAGGAATGGAGGTTTGACACACATGACTAGATCACTTTCCCACCAAAAACTGCAGTCAGACCTAGTTCTAGATACTTTTCTTAATCAGTTTAGGAAAACTGAATTTTGAAGTCATAACACAGGGAAAGGACATGCAATGTCTGGAGAAGGGTCAACGAAGCTGGAGAAAAGGAGAAAGAGGAGAAAAGTAGTAGGAGAAAGTAGGAGAAAAGACTGTCTAGTGTAGTGTAAGCCTGGAATACTGACACTGTTGGCCAGCCTTATTCTCTCCATATCTTGTTAGATCCTTAGAGTTCTTCGAAGCCGAAATTCAATCTATAAAGCTGCCTTACAGGCTATAGCAGAGGGCAGCAAAAAGGGTTCCTTCTCAGAGGCCATACCAGTCTAGTAGGTTTTATCAGTCTGGATTTGACATACTGTGCTCCTAAATTGAAAAGGACCCCCAAATACAGATAAGAGTCCAAGCTGCCTTTCTGAGAGAAAAATGACAATACTGTAGTTGGGAGTGTTTCACAAATCCAAGAGAAAGTAGTTGTCTCAGGAAATCATTTTTATAGGGGAAGAAGTCCTACAAGTCAAATAACTCAGCTAAATCACATAGATGCTCTTTAATGTAAGGTTCTACATGCACTGATGAGTCAATGTAGGGCTAACCAACTTTCTTCGGAGAAAGATGGAACATAAGTATAAAGGGCAAACCTATTTTTCCAGCAGAGTCACTACTGCGTGCAAAGACATATTCCTTGTGGTGCACTCTGGATGGGTCTGTGCTAACATTTTAGTTCAGATCAGGAGTGTACATCTGAGGTGAATCTCTCAATTGCCCCTACCCATGCTTTGTTTGCATTCCAGAACAGTGTTGGATTTCAAACCTGGATTCCTTCTGGATGAGAATAAATTGTGAGATGTACTTCAGTGAGTCTCCTGGATCCAGACTAGAGTAGGCCCAAAGTAAGCCCTCAAGCCTACGTAATGAGGACAGCAGGTCATCAGCACAGATTGTTTTGCCCTACAGATCCTTTCCTATTACAGCACTTTAGTTGCTAAAACACACATATTGACTCTGGAACCTGCAGAACAGGAAGGATGGCTCAGCAGGAGGCTTAGAAATAAGAGCAGGACCACCAAGCTGACCCACTGCCTCTAAATCTCTTACTGCACCCCTCCTTTACTTAAATAACCTTAAATACTCCTTTGGGTGTTTTTTTTACATCTTCTCAACACAGATATTCTATGGAAAAAAATAAACTGTGCTTCCTGAGCTGTTTTCATATTTAATGCTCTGTGAAAAATACTTCTGATATCCTGATAATATCATTTGTCAGCATGATATGCAGTATAGATATAAATGTTTTGTTAGTGTTATTTCCTTAGGGCTTAAATCTTTTTTCTTGCCTTCTTTTTCAGCTCAAAGAACTGTTCCACTATATCAAGTCTGCATTAAGCTGTGTCAGGAGTCAGGCACTGTAATAAAAGAATCTTAGAAAAATTCCCCTTTCTGCCTTCAGTAAACTGGATGTAGCAAGGGGATGGGACATTTGGAATGCTTTCATTGTTTTTTTCTATTTAATCAAAATGCCTGCTGAGAATCAGGAAGATAGCTTACACTAAACTCTTTGAATGGGAATATTTATTTTTTCTCCTGTAAGAATCATATGTTCTATTACTATGTTCACTTGTGATTTAAATTAAGACGCAGCTCTCCTATGGAGAATACATTTTGAAAATTTTCTATTTTTCCCAGATGTGAAAGGCAAAATACTCTTTCTTTTTTTTTTTTTTTTTCAGAGATTAGATCATATATTATGGGGTGTGGCTATTTCTGTCAGGAATGGTTTAACAAATTCTGGAAAAAGAGAGGAATTAGCCTAACCCTCCCTTCAGCTTGGAGCTGGACTGCTCTTGAGGTCCCTGAAGGCCCATTATACTGCCCTGAGGAAGTGCTGTTCGTTCCCATGTGTCATTCACAGTGTACATTTCTTGTAGGAAAAACTCCAGTCCACAAACTGCCACACAATTTCAACTTGTTTGAAAGCGAAACCTTAACCACAACCCCTGGGCAGGACTTGTATTATATAGAAGTCGTGTTAAATTGTGAGGAGGATCTGTAGGGAGTTTCATCTAATGAATTTCCGAAAAGAGACCAGCATTTTGGGCTTTTAGATCTCAGGAGAGGGACCTGCTTGACCTCTTATTAACAGTGAAATCAAGTTGTTTCTGTCAGAGCAAACTTTTGAACAGCCAAGAAACAGTATTTATTATGTTTACATATTGCTAGACCCAACACCATGAATTACACTCAAATAAATCCAGGGAGCTTCCTCAGCTGTTCCTTAAGCCAAGAATACTCTGTAGTTAGTCTGATGTAGTTAGGTATGATGACGTAGGTACAGGACCTGCATATCCTTTCTGTGTCTGTGAGACAGAGCTACTATAGTCATCGCAAAGCAATGAGAATCTCTCTGCCAGGTCTTAGTGTTTCTCACCACAGTAAATGTTCATGCTATTGGTTATTCTTCTCACATGTACAAAGACATTCTACCATACTAAGTTTTTAATTTTAAAGTTACGCTTCAGTAACACTATACTCTGCTTTTTTGTGTGTTAGAAGTTATTCCTAATTTTCTGGAGGGTTGTGCAGGAGGAAAGTTGGCTTGTGTTCTCCATTCTCTCCTATCCCATGCCTATATGACCAAACATTTGCCTAAGAAGACCTCCTGGTTTTGAAATGGGGAAGTCTGTACTACTTTCAGATGACCTCAGAGGCACTGTATGTAAAGCACCTGAAAGCTTGAACAGCGTGTTCTGATTCCTTATCTTTCCTGTTGAGTATTACTGAAAACTGCTGATGCAAACAGCAATGCAGCAATTACCAAGGCAAATTAACATTACTGAAATGTTTGACTTTCTCTTTACAGGAAGTACCTGATAAGAACAAAGTTAATGGACTATATTTTAGAGATGGGAAATGTCGGATTGACTACATCCTAGTATACAGAAAATCTAATCCACAGACAGAAAAGAGGGAAGTGTTTGAGAGAAATATCAGAGCAGAAGGTCTTCAAATGGAAAAAGAGGTAAGAGAGCTTTCTTGAAAAAATCTTCCAACATTTAAAGCTGTGTAGAATTTAAGGATATGAGTTTTGTTTACTCTGAAACCCCTTTACTCTGTAGTAGCAGTGAAAAAAATGCTTTTAAGCATGCCTAAATATAGGCTATTTATTGCCAGAGCAGTGGGAAAGCATAGCCTAAAGGAAAATCAGACACATGGATTGAAGGCCAAAACAGGCCATTACAGTCATCTTTTTCAACCTTATGCACAAGTAGGCCACAGAATTTCATCCACTGTGTTGTGCAATAGAGAAAAAAAAGTGCTGGGTTTGGATGGCCTAAATTCTACTGAGTGCAATTCTACTGAGTGCAAATTCTACACATTTCTTCACCTACATTTCCTTTTAACTACCTGCTCCACTCTTTGCTGAGGCTTTTGGTACTCTTTTGTTGGGGCTTAACCCCAGCTGGCAACTAGGATGACACAGTCACTCGCTCGCTTCTCCCACACACACTGCAGTGGGATGGGGAGAAGAATCAGAAAAAAAAAGGAAAACTTGTCAGTTTGAGATAAAGGCAATTTAATAAGTAGAGCAAAAGCTGCGCACATAGGCAAAACAAAACAAGAAATTCATTCACTCCTTCCCATCGGAATGCAGGTGTTCAGCCATCCTCCAGTAAAGCAGGGCTCCATCACCCATAATGGTTACTTGGGAAGACAAAACACCATACCACCAAATATGTCCCCTTCCCTTCTTCTTCTCCCAGCTTCATATACTAAACATGACATCATATGGCATGGAATATCCCTTTGGTCATTTGGGGTCAGCTGTCCCAGCCGTGTCCCCTCCCAGCTTTTTGTGCTCTTCCAGCCTACTTGCTGGCAGGGTGGTATGAGGAGCAGAAAGTCTTGACTACTTAGCAACAACTGAAAACATTAGTGTTTTATTAACATTATTCTCATCCTAAATTCAGAACATAGCACTATATCAGCTGCAGTAAGACAGTTAAATCTATCCTAGCCAAAGCCATGACATCTTTCCAGACACCTAACCAGACTCCTGCCTTCCTTTTCCTGTCAGCTTAGGCATAGGTATTTTGGTAGTTTGGAAACAGCCTAAAGTATCTCCTTCTGTCTTAATCCTAAATATTGAAATAATTGGACAGGACATACGAATTATTTATATCAATGTTATTTCCAACATAATGTCCTAAATCTTTTCTTCACTTACACAAGAGTGTAAAAAAAAAAGTGAAGTGTCTAAGAATGTATTGATGTGATAGGTAGCAGGAGTGAGGCTTAAAGAGACCACCTCTCTTTTGCCTAGGCTATGTTCTTTCTTCAACTTTCATAAGTGTGCTTAAACAGGGCCTAAGTCTCACTTTCATGCAGAATAGATATTGCTGAATATTTAACTTTACTTGTGTTTGATCAACTCACGCTCATGCTAATATGCATTGTTATGCTGCCAGTGACAGAAACAGTAGAGGAATTTTCAAGTTACAGGCTTTGGTGAATTATGTAGGTGCTGTATATTATCTCCCTTTCTTTCACTGAATTCCTGCTACACGTGTAGATATTCTGCCTATGTACTTGAAAGGCACACTTCTTTGGAGAACGCTAGGGAAGAAAAAATGGGAGCTGTTTCTCTCCAGAATAATGAAAGTATTTCCTTTCTTTTAATGTTTTTGAATGAACATGGGCACTGGTGGATATAAGCGTATGAGAGCATATCACTGGTTACATCAACTGGTTACCATAAACTACTACTCCAAATAACCTGGAAGTTAGCATCTTTAGTGCAGCAGTAGACGGTAGATGTTTTCAATGACAGCCATTGTTCATTTATTACATGCTTCCTGTAAACATACCACTGTCTGTAGGAGTCGTAATCCAACATCCAAGAACATGAGAGTGTTGCTGCAGCTGTTCAGCTTCACATCCTAGAATTCTTCCCTGCTTCCACCAGACACTGAAGAAGTCTCTGAAGTTTGGGCAATGTAGAAAATGAACGTGGAATGAATCCTCCCTCTTGATACATCTGCCCAATGGTTTTGAACCAATCTTTTCCTACTTCGTGATTTTTGCAGATTTATTACTGTGTAAAGGTCAGCCGTGAAAGCTATGAAATCACTTTATATTTTAAGTATTATGAAACTTATTGCTACATTCTGCACAGAAAACTTTCAAACTGATGATTTAAGTGCTTACTATAGAGTTTTCTTTAAGCTTTCAAGCCCATTTATTTGGACTTTGCTGCCTAGGCTGTATGAATGTTCTGCCCATTTGATTATTCATTTCAGTTTCCATTATGCTACTGACATGCAGTTTTATTTCTTATTAATCTCATTTGACCTTGGTGTGACTTCTTGCTAGCATCAGTAATTGTACATTTTCTAAACTCAGAATGATCAAAATGAGGTTGTGTTACATGACTCAGGCTAATGTTTTTAAAATCTAGGGTAGCAATCTTTTATAACATAGGACTCTGACCTAAAATTAAACCCTAGCATGTATATTTTATGATCACTTTAGTTTCCAAATTGAATTATAATCCTGAAGGAAATAACACATTCTTGGTACACTCCCTCCCCCTCCCTGCAGAGTAACTACTGTGCTGCATTAACACTTAGGTTTAAACTAAGTGTGGTCGTTTAATGTCTAGATTATTTCTTATTATTTTTACTTCTCCTTTTGGTGAGACTGTGCATCACTCTAGGTTTCAATTCTGTAAGATTTTAACAGCAAGTCTGTTTTCTAGTAGTTCATATATAATATATTGCTTCCACTGGGAAAAGTTTGCTCCCAGATAAAATAATTGTCTGTGGCTTTGACCACAGAACTTATACAGAGGCAATAGACTGTAACTGCTGAACTGAAAGAAACTTTTTACCTTCCGTGAATTTTGTGTGGTTGTTGGTTTTTTCTCCTTTGACTACTAACTGTTCATATATTGACATTCAATTGTGTGAGTCCTGTCTTTTTAATGTGAATTCGGTGGCAGAGATAAAAACTTACAGAGCTGCTCACACTGCAGTTTCAAAACCATATTCCTCAGTAACGCTGCAGAGAGAGGAAAAAAAATGCACTGCAGTGGCTCGCTGACAAGTGTAGCACAGCAAAATACCCAGGAAGTGGTGAGTGCAGGGAGCAAAGTGTTTACTTAACAGCATGAGATGAGAAAATGAATCTGAAATGAATTCATAAACATTGAGATAACTTCAGGCACAATGTCAAGCTCATGGAGCCGAGAAAGGTCTGAATAGGTATGTGTTTCTGACTCTAGAAAAAGGTGATAACATTTTGCAGATACTTCCCAACAAATTCACACTCACATTCTTCAGCTGTACCACACCACTCTCCCATGGAAGTTCTGCCAGGTTTAGTGCTCTCTATATCCAGTAGTAAACAACGAGGGGATTCCAGACCAAGGAACAGATCATTGAAGTAGTGAAGGTATGGAAAACAGAGCTCTAAGAGTGAATGCTAATTGAGTGGAACAGCATAAATCATTTTCTGACCCTTCTCCCTACTTTTTGCTGTATAATGGGTCTGGATAGGATGACTGTGTTGTCCCAGTCCAACATGGATCACATCCAACACGTGATCATATGCATAGAAGCTCTAGGTCAGTTAATTGAAAATACAGGTCACTCCAGGAAAAGAGATTGTATTTTCTTTTCAGCCATATGTAAAATTTCCTATCTCGACTTATTCTTTTTTACAATGTCTCACGAGTGAGATAAATAACCATGATATCCTAGACTTGGGATTCTTGAAGATCCTACTGTTTTCATTTATAATATTCTTTGAAACAAACTTATGTATTGGGTAAAATGGAGAGGGGAGTCTCCAAATGCAGCAAGTTCTTATCAGAGATGAGGTACCAACAGCCTTGATGGTTTGTAGATACTGATATCTTCTGTAAATATTACACGAGACTCATACCTTCCAGAATTGACTGGCAAATGGGTAACAGGAGACATCATATTACTGTCCACATTCTGAGGGTATGTTTCGTATTTATCCAAATACAAAATAAACCTGAGATTAAGATCAGCCCACTGATGCTCAGAAAAAAATACTTTATGATAACTTTTATGTAAAGAGAAAATACAGATAGTGTCTGTCATTCCAAATATAGTGTTCATCGATCTGGGACAGTAAAACTCCAACATTTTTCAGGAAAACTGATCTTTTCAAGAGAGAATGAAGAGTCAGAATTACATTGGGCCAACGGTATTTTTCACAAGAACAGAGATTTATAAATTCAACCTCTTGGCCAAAATCCAGCTAAATTCCCTTATCAAAAATTATTTCTGCAGCTTCAATTAGTGTATTTTAATCCCTGTCCTAAATGGCCAGATAGAACTAAGTTGCTGTCAAAAGTCACTACGCTGTGCCAGTACATGGATACAGTATTACAGACATCTTTCAGTAAGGCACTTTAAATTATACTAGATTAATAGAGCATGCACAGAGGTAGCCAGCATGGAGCAGCTAACATACATAACTTGTTCACGTACAACCTTCAACAAGGACAAGTGTAGGGTACTGCATCTGGGGAGGAATAACCCCATGCATCAGTACAGGTTGGGAGCTGACCTCCTGGAGAGCAGCTCTGTGGAGAGGGACCTGGAAGTCCTGGTGGACAACAGGATGACCATGAGGCAGCAATGTGCCCTGGTGGCATCCTGGGGTGCATCAAGAAGAGTGTGGCCAGCAGGTCGAGGGAGGTCATCCTTCCCCTCTACTCTGCACTGGTGAGGCCACATCTGGAGTATTGTGTCCAGTTCTCTCTCTTTTATGAGGGAAGACTGAGGGAGTTGTGTCTTTTTAGTCTAGAGAAAAGAAGACGGAGGGGAGATCTTATCAATACTTATAAATACTTAAAGGGAGGGTACCAGGGGGATGGGAACAGTCTTTTTTTTCAGTGGTGCCCAGTGATAGGACAAGAAGTAACGGGCACAAGCTTAAATATAGGAAGTTCCATCTTAACATGAGGAGGAACTTCTTTACTTTGAG